CTCCCATCGGATTCTGCTGTTCGCGCCTGTGCAGCTTTCATTGATCTAAGCTCCCGTCCTATGCCAGTGATCCTGTTTGCTTATAATTTGCAAATTTTTTATAACCGAAAGCTACCCTTTTTTAAGTATAACATTTAAAATTTATGATGTTTATTCGTAGCTTAAGCAAGATTTTCTTCTTCTAAAGAAGGCGTAATTTGCTATCAAACAAGTACAAGAAATATTTTTTTCGTGCATGTTTTCCATAAAATATATTTGAATTATTAAAGCAGAATGATAAAAAGGCATACTACTAAAGTAGCCAGTTTTTACAATAGATACTTTTTGCTGGTCGTCAGAACGAAGCTCGTTAAAAAACCCGCATCCTATCATGCCTGAAGTAATTTCAGAATAGACTACACGATAATCAGTATCGCAACCTAAGTCAATACCGATTAGCGAAAGACTATCAATCTTTCGGCTCTGTCGAAATGTTGCGTGATCCGTGGCGTCTACTGTGTATATGTATACATCGTCTGCTCAGCCTCATTCTTATTACAACAGGCGAGATCCTGCGAGTTGAAGAGATATATAATGCTGGGTGTATCTGTTGTCTAGAGCAGGGAAGGAAATCTTCCCATCTATCAACTGTCGAGTGAGCAAAATGCGCATTGATGTCTCTGTGAATTATCGCGACTGAAGATCTTGAACACCAGGGTAGGGGGGAATTAGCAGCTCATATACAGATGAGGCAATTCTGAGTGATTGATTTATCATAAAACTTTGGTGATGTGCGTTAAAACTGCGTTTTGACGGCTGGGTTCGCCAGCGTTTCTAATTCCTTTAGCGATTAATATATCAAAAAAACGGTGGACAGATGCTAAGGCACAATAGTGCGTAGAACTAAGAAGCAATATTTGAATCTTTTATAATGGGAAGTCTAACTTGGTCTGTTAAATGGATCCAAAAGTCTTGTCAAAGGATTAATTTGAAAACTTACAGAAATTCAATAGGTTTTATGTTTGATTGTAAAACTAAACCCGTGGGCAATGCATTATGCTGCATTATTAAAAAGATGTAAACAAGATATGTCAAGTTGTCATCCTGAAGGGGATTAATTGGCCTCGACAATCTTCACTTAATTTGTCGTAGCATTCGGAAGGGTGCCGTCGCGCATTATCAGTGTTCCTGGAACCACAGTAATTAATGAATGGTCTTTGTGGTGTGTCGCAGGTACACGATCACGTGATTTTTAGCTAGGCAAAAAGTTGTGCCGTCGGCAAGTCAGAGCGCAGTTTATAATAAGTGGTGTCTAGTTCGGTAGACCAATTTATGAAAATTTACTGAGCGTTGTGACTCGCCCAATTCTCTACTAAATTTTAATTACTTTTCTGCCCCACAGTGCGCATCAAATTTACAGCTCACTAAAATGCTTGCGTTTGAGTGAGTCTGAATGATGAAATGAGTATTTTCCACTTAGGCTTTAGAGTGGGGTCGCAGTATGGCTCCTTTGAATTTTGAAATTCATGGCAATTCTGCGACGGAAGGTTACTGTTAGGTAGGGAGGGGGTCCGGACACACCTGCGTGTATACTGCTGCAAGTGGCACTGATTTTGTCCAGACACTCCCAATTCCATTTTAGCACTTATTTGTGTTGACTTTACTTTATATTTATATACATATATGCATACACTTTTACTTTATATTCATACACATTCATAAACTTTAAATTTATCATCATTCATTTATATTCATATTTAAACCTGAAGAAAAACAATGTTTGCCGCTCATGATGTTTTGAGTAACAGCGCATGTTTTTAGCCATAAACTCACTAAAAGCTTTCTTCAGAGACGCGGTGTCCGTGACCAAGACAAAGACATAATGATAAAATTTAGCCGCAATTTGTCTTAGGTGATCAGTGTAACAATTCTCTGGCTTTCCCAAAACCGACTATGGGGTACCTTTTGTGGTATATTGGCAGACGTGGACGAGGGCATTGTCTCAAATTGGGAGTAATACTGCTAAACTACAACAGCCAAAAAACTGCAGCTTAAACGATAACTTCCCATGACATTTTCAGCTTATAAATATTCCCTGGAAGTTTAGGTTCGAGGCTTCTGCGGCAAAGCAGGTGATTCCAATTGATGAGCTAGGTCTTTTCATTGAAGGTGCAAACGTGGTGCCTAATTGTGCCTCCTTTTTTTCTTTGGCAGTTTGTACTATTGTTGTTTTCGTGTACTTTGGGCCACCCCGTGACTGGGGGTTCTTGTAGAAGGGAGAGGGCGGGAGGGTTGGGACCCACGTGTGTGTGCACCGCTGAAAAGTGGGAATAGTTGCTGACCAATGTCGGGCTTGATGAGCCCGTGATCATGAAGGATAGGGTCTCAAATTATACACATTTCTGACAGTCAGGCCATCGCAGCCTCTCTTTTGTTCGTTTTTTTCAGACCCTCTCAATTCCTTTTTACGCGCTTCATTTTTCCGGCGTT